GGGTACCACAGCACCACCCAACCCTGCACAGACCGAGCCACTGATGCTTCTGAAAGTTATATTTATATTTTATTGCATTTTCAGACGTATAAATAACCTCAAACTCCTTATGTTTTCTAGGAAATCCAAATGGTTTCACCTTCCTCTCATCTACAAGTTTAAGAAACTAGGGCCCCAATATCTAAAATTGCTACCTAGTTGTTATAAGGCTCTTAATTTTGAGTTTTACATCAGAATAGCTGAGTTTTAATTTAACAGCAAGTACTGATAATCTGAGAAATTTTACATCCTTTCATTGCTTCTGATTCCCCACTATAATTCGCATCCTAATATTTTAGCACTGCTGATTTCTGGGCCTTGTGAAGAGCTAATTTTGTGGCAGGCCTGTTGCTTGTATCTGTTACTGTTCACTCTCCATCAGAAAAGCTTTTTGTATTAAGTTGTAAAGAAGTCACTGGACAAACATAAAAAAATGAATCAATCACTGTAAGAAAAAGATTCACTTTCAAGTTAAATATTATGAATTATGTATATTCATTCATTCATGCTGCTTATTGATATTTGTTGTGAAGTAACAACAGCTTGTGTATTCATCAAAGGATTTAACACTAAATGGCAATTTTATGTTTAAATCACAATTACTCCTCTGTTTCAGAATGGGGCTATTTCCTGTTCATCTGCCAACAGGAGAAAACATGGCTGGATTAAGGAAAAAAGAGAACTTTCTCCACTTATATCTCATGAAGGAACTTTCCTGATTTAAAGCACAGGATGAAGTTCACTTCCAAGTATATATTTACCAACAGAGTCACTGCCTGATGCTTTGTGACGGGAGCTGCATCCTCAGGGTGCAATTACAGCAATTATCTGGATGGATCTTCTCATCAGTGACCTTTGACTCATCTCCTACAAACTGTCAGTCTTCATCATCAGATGGGGAAAGCAGAGTATTGTTTCGACTCAATCAGCTGCTCCTGAGAAGGAGAAAACCCCACATTAGGGCAGCCTGGCTGCCCACAGTGACCTCCTGCAGCCAGCCTGCATCTGCCAGGCGAGGGGAGCCCGGCAGGAACAGCAGGTCCCTCCTGGGCTGTTCTCCCGGCAGGATGGAGCCGGCAGCACCTCCACACGCTCCTGCATTCCTTAGGCACTGCAAGAGAAGCAGGAATAAATCTTTTTGGATTCAAAGTATTCTCATCATCTTTGTTGGTTTTGTGTCGGGTTTTGGAAGTTTGCCCCAAAACCCTCTGTCTCACTTCGCATTCAACTGGAATGAACTCGCTGAACCAACTGAACTGACTATAAAATTATACCTATGCAAAGATGGAGCAGTCTTACCTTAACACTGTTATGACATTTATTATCACACAATTTTTACTGAAGTAAAACTCCTGTATAAGTTTTGTCAGAGGGCATGGCCAGGAGGGTACAGCCCATGTGAAATTAAACTATTTAAATTCACAGTCAGTAATGCTAAATAATGAAGGGATAAATGACTCAGTTCAAACAGTAAGACATTTAAAATGGAATTGAAAAATACCAACTATAAACAGTTTTATAACTTTCACTGTGCAGTGAAACAACTGATGACTGACTATAACAGAAAAACAAAATATCACTTTTGCCTTAAAGGGAGAAGAGCTTAATTCTCTCAGCATACAGTTCTTCCAGAAAAAGGATGGCAGTTCCAAGGCTCAATTTTAATGACCATTAGCTGCTACCTACCATTTAATTAGTTGATAATAAAAGCAAGGCTCTTTCTTATCAAAGCAATCAGCAGTGTCACTCCTTTGCATTCCTCCCATTAGCTGCAAATGTTGTTATATGGACAGGGCAGGGATAAAACCAACAACAGACAATCTGGGAAAAAACCTCCAAAGCGAAAAATAAACAAAATCATTTCCAGAGGTAACTCAGTCAATCACCAAAGGAGAAAGAAATTGACACTTCATTGTCAAGTGTCAATTCAAAGGGAAAACAGATTGAACCAAAACTGTCCAAAAATGCTTTACCATTTTGAAACACTCACATCCCCCAATGCCAGACAGAGCCCAGCTGTTTCTGTGACTAACTTCAAACAATAGCTGGGCTGTTTAAAAGCTCAGCAACAGGGAATGATGTTTGCCTGAAGACATACTGTATTAATGTAAATTGCTTTCAAATGCACGTTCAGTTTCTTAAACAAAACAAAAAGTAGATATGAAACTGTGAGAGTGGAAGTTACTGTTAGAGCCATATATAACCCTGTCAGCCATAATTCAGTCATACATTAGGGACCACATGGAGGGAGCTTGCATTCAGGGGGAAGGACAGCAAAAGGGGCCTCTATTTCTGTAAAAGGAAAGTGTTATTCATTTTACTCTTCCTACTTCAGAAAGGTCTTAAGACTATGGAACCTGTGTCTCCTCTATGAACCTTCCAATCGCCATCAGACAAAAACCTCCGTATTTCCTCCTTATGGGATGCTCCACACTCATGCCCATGGCTGTTAGTCATGCTGCCAGAGTGCCTTCATATCATCTTAAGCACTGACCTTTAAGAAATTATAAATGTTATTTCAGCTTTAATATTCTGATTCTAGTGTCTCTGGAAGTGATTAACAGCACTGGCTTTATGTCTTCAGGTCCTTGCCTATTTGCTCACCACCTTCTGCTAATGTAACTTAATCATTACACGCTGCAACACCCCAGGTTTCTATTTCTAGTTCAGTGAAATTAAACTAGTAATGAGCAGCAGCATACTGTATCATCAGTGGGCTTCATTGCTCCTGAAGGCAAAAGGATTAAATCACAGATTAATTTTGTTCTGTGTATCATCTTTCTCATCTGTACAATGGGGACAACACAGCTATAGTTGAGAGAAAGTAAGGCTTCCTCACAACAACAATTACATTCCCATCTGTTAATTTTTTGTCAGTTATCTTTGCAGTGTAGTTGTGAGATTGTTAAATAACCAAATTTGTGTAGCTAACAAAAAAGTGATCATGGCAAAGATCTTCAGTAGACGGTGCCGACAGACAGCAGACATGTTTGCCTAATCCAGACTTGGTAATCAGCAAAAAGATTTGAAAGACAGGAAAAAGATTAGTTTGGATACAAAGGAGAGGATGGCAGGAACGTTACGATGACAGTTCAAGAACATTTCTTGGAACATTCACAAAAATGGAAATCAGCTGGAAATTCACCATTTCCTCATCTACTCTACCAGAATAATGCTTAGACGATGAGTAAAGACCATCTCATGGTAAAATCTTACATCACAGCATGAAAGGACCCAGTGTTGTGGTGATGCTGACTGTGCACCGTTCCCACACTGTTGTGTCAACACTTCACTTGGAGAACACATAAAAGAATTCTACTGGGTTTGACAAGTGCACCCTTTATCAAAGGGCCAGATCACTCCTCGTGGCCTGTGTGCACACTTCACCTCACCTTAAAGGACTTCTAAAATTTGTCTAACAAATCTGTTGCTTGTTAAAAGCCGTAAAACCTCTTTAGGTAAGGATTTCTTAGATAAGCAGCTGAAATTATCAATAAGCAATAACTTTACTGATACGTTAAAATCTTTTATCAGTACCAGAAAATATATTAGCATGCCCCTAACGTATATTAATTGCATGTTAACTGCACCTGCCTTGCACTGGGGGCACACACCTGCCAACTCAGCCAAGTAAAGCAGAGCTGAAGGCAAACACAGCAAGGCACACGCAGGGACGAAGGGGTGTCACAGCCAATGGACGTGGAGGGACCGGCCGTCCAGCTGAGCCTGTGCCAGCCCCAGTGGAGACAAATTCCCATTCCAGGAGCAACAAGGCAGTCCCATCCCACCCCAGCTGGGATTCACAGAATATGTTGACTTGGAAGGGACCCACAAGGATCATCGAGTCCAACCCTTAGCCCTGCACAGGCCCATCCCCAAGAGTCACACCATGTGTCTGAGAGTGTCATCCAAACCCTCCTGGAGCTCTGGCAGCCTTGGTGCTGTGCCCGCTGCCCTGGGGAGCCTGGTCAGTGCCCGACCACCCTCTGGGGGAAGAACCTTTTCCTGATATCCAACCTGGGTCCTGGCCCTGGTCCCCATAGAGCAGAGCTCAGTCTTGCCCTTCCTCTGCCCCTCTCGAGGAAGTTGTAACTGCAGTGAGGTCTCCCCTCAGTCTCCTCCAGTTGAACACACCAAGTGCCCTCAGACCCTCCTCACACGGCTTCCCCCCAAGGCCCTTCCCCATCTCCGTTTCTCTCCTTTGGATGCTCTCTAATAGCTCCAGCAGAAGCCAGGTGTGTACAACCCATCCTCTTTCCCGGCAGGGGCGACTACACTTTGTGGTGACACAAGGACTTGTTCGCAACAAAGAGCTCTTTTTACATCGCCTTGACACGCACGGAGCGCCCCAGGACCGGGACGGAGCGACCGAGGCAGCGATTCCCGGCCGTGACCCCGCACTGCCCCCTGCGGGCACCGCCGGGAACGGCCGCTCCCCAAATCCTCCCGCAGGAACATCCACGGCCTCGGCTCCTCTCCCCCACCTCCTCGGGGCACAGTTTCACCTCGCGGGGGAAACCTGGAAAGCAAGCTTCCCCTTCTTTCCCAAATAACTCAATTATCTGAGAACGCTGTTAGAGAATACTATAGAATACTTCAGTCTTATCTGTTTCATGACATGAATAATTCCTGTATATTTAGCAACTCCTCCAAAATTACTAAATTAAAATATTTAAAAAACTGGAATCTGTTCAGAATATGTATTGCTTTAAAAGATATTAATACACGCATACTTGCCTAAATATATGAATAATATAATTAAATCTTTGTAAAACATCAATCTGAATAATGACAAAAATATTTGTATTTGCATAGTTATGCAAATACTTAATCATGAAGAACAATCACCGTTTGCTGTTATAAAGCACGAGACCACGAGGAATGACTCCTGAAGAGGTCAAACCATTCTTTCTTGATTCCCAAAAGGATGCATTTCCAGCTTCTAACTACTGAAAAAATAATTTTGCAAGTTCAGATATAAATATATCTTTTATTACTACATTCATATTCCACTTCATGTAGTCTGATTCTTATATGTCGCTACAGAATGTGCCAGCTTTGTTATTAACAACTATTAAATGAATAATATATATTCATAAAATTCATCAAGTAATTTAAACAACTCTGCTGCTTAGATTTTATAACATCAATGGAAACAGCACAACAAGAATAAAGTGAACAATATTATTTAATCAATTATCATGGACAAAAGTATTCTTAAGTCCTGCTAAGAACAAATGAGCTTACTAAAACTTTACCACTGTGAAAACAGAAACAAACCAATAAATATGTACCGTTATAACTCAAATAACTGTAATGGAAAAACAAAGCCAGTGACAAATTTTGATGAATTCAAGCACTCTGACTTCTCAGTGTTTGCCAAAACACTACAAAACTGAACGAGGTTTCTGTCACCTAAATGGTAATTCCTGTCCATGTATTTTTCACAGAAATGCTTTTTCACAAAATTGTGTTTTAGCATCATGAATTCTATTAGAAGATAAAGTGTCTGCAGAAAGGAGGTTCAGTAAATGTTCCTTGCATTAAAAAATCACTGCCTTTCATGTGCTCACCCCAGCAAAGCATAAACCATCTGAAGTTCGTGCAGCTCTCAGTGATATAGAGCTACTGAGGCAGAACTTTGCCTCAGATCAATCTGTAATTCTGTGAGTAAGGCTGAAGAAAAATGAAATGCAAGGTGAAACAAACCTATCCATTTTTTAATAAATTACTCCGAAAATAGCTATTTTTTTCTCATTCTGTTATCACATTTATGCAATAAAACAGGCAAAGGTTCCCTATAATTTTCACACTTTGGCAGTGGTATTTAGGCTACACAGCAGAAATTGCAGCAAGAAGAAATATGAGCACAGAGAGGCTTCAACAGCTTTCAACCAGCACCTTTTCCAACTTTCTAACTGGAGGTAGTTCCACACTTTGAAATGGTCAGTTACAACCACTGAGAACAAGCAAGATCAGTCTGTTTGTGAGTTATTTGTCCATCATGTTGAGAATCCATTTCACAAATTGCTTCTGTTTTGTCTTCTCTCAGAGCTGCTGTTTCTATCCCATCTAAAACAGGAACAATCTCACTGGCACAATGTTCATTTTTCATCTTGGAATGATTTCAGGGCAACTTTGAGGAAAAAAAGAATTAAATATTGTGATGATTAACCAGAAAGACAAGTAAATCTTTCAATAAATTTAACAAATATGCAGTTTAATTTAGTGGAGAAAACACTGCCAATATGTACCAACATCTTTTACACTTTATTTGGGGAATGAATCTATCTTAGGTCAAATATTACATTACAAGCCACGTTACTGAGTATGGTATTCTCATCAGAGGAAAACTAAGCATTATTTAACCGGGAATTTAATTATCATATGCATCCTTTTTCTTTTTTATTAGCGAAAGCAAATCATTGACAACACCAGTCTCACAAGTTGTCTCTTGTAAAGCCACATATAGGATCCCACAGGCCCCTTCAAGTTGTGCAGGAAGTGGACACTGATACATAAAAACTTGCAAACATCAACTTGGGGGAAAAACCTTCTGAAACAGCACAGACATTTCTAATATTTGTGTGAGTCAATTTATGAACTGAGTATTTGCATGAAAAACATCTAAAAATACATTATCATAGCTCTAGAAAAATCAAGCTTTCAGATGAAGATATTTGCAAGATACCAAAAAGAAGCTGTTTCCATGTAGGAAAACATTAATAACAGCAAAATCTAATTACTGCAAAAACATAAACACTGCAGCTGTAACACTTCTCTCTAACCATACCATTACAGCCTCACCAGTGAAAACAGAAGTGTCAATGCTAATGTAAACTCAGCTGCTGATATATATTCATTAGATTCAGAAAAGCTCCAACATTTCTTCTCCTCACACTATGTCAGATTTTCTCTCAGTGTCACTGGCCACGAATCAGTGTAGATACAACCTGATACATCAAAAGGTAAGGTTTTGGGACACCTAGGCCAAAGATGTATCTGCATTCTTATCCATTACTCCATAAAAATCACCTGAGGAATCCTATCAAGGAGACTATTATGGCTTTCAAACACCATCTGGGAAGCACAGGGGCAAATGGGATATTCTGCTCAGGCAAAGCTACTTTTTGGCCATGGTGGCCCTGAAGGTGACCTTGGAAACGCACAACCAGCTCTCACCCTGCAACAGTGCAGAGACTGAAGTGACAGAATAAACACTCAGTGCTCCAGAGCTACCCACAAAGAGCAGCACTGAGTAATTATGGGTGATTTTCTGACTCTACAGATGTGCTGGACCAAGAGCTTCATAAATGGGCCTGCTCATCTTTGCAGTGTGAGAGAGGCCATTTAAATCAGTAACATTTGATTATTATTTGATCACTACCTGGTCCAAGTATGACAAAAAGGTGGTGAACAATTTCTTTATTAAGATGTACTAGACCTTTTGTGGTTAACAGGCAATCTGAGCCCTGAAAGCGAAAAGGTTTTAATCCGGTCTGTATTAAAGCAATGTCTTATAAATCATGAGCTCTCAAGAAATCTCACCAGGCCTCAGCTCAAGGATGGGTCTCATTCTCCTTTATAAAGGCAAAGGGAAATTGCAAAAGGGAAAAGAAAACCATATATGTAAGCACTGCTAAGTAGGGAGTTTAGGAACTCGTTTGGAGCAGGGGAACAGCCCAGAATGGGCACCTGAGCAATGACCCAATACAGATGACAAGAATTTCTGACACACAGAAAACCCTATTCTGAAGTATTCTTCCACTGTTAGCTTCACTATGAAACAGTAATTAAACAGCAGGGAAGACTCACTGCCTTAACCTTTTAGTCTTGAATCTAATTTGCATGATTAAATTCTAACTTACTTGCTGATTACCTTCTGACTTAACACGCTTGGGGTTCTCCTGGATTTTATTTTTCTCCTTGCTTCTTTTTCTGGGTGCAGCAGTTTCTGTCCTCCCCAATCCACAATTTTCAGCATGCTTACGCATATTTTTCTGTCAGCATAATGAAGAATAAATATATGAATCAGATATTAATCTATGTAAGCAACTTAACACACACAAAACAAATACGGCTCTGACAGACAAATTTTGGAATGCTAAGTGGAAGACTGACTTAGTTAACAACATTCATAAAACTCCTGAAGATTTTCCAGAATATGTATTAAAATTCTACTTTAAAGGAATGTTGCCATTCGGTGGGTATAAAATAAAATTTATAATTTTCTGGTTCCTGGATAAGCAATAAAGTTTTACATATAAAATCTGTCTGTGGAAAAAAGGTTACACTTACTTTAAAGTGTGCACAGTTAACTCAAAATGAGAAATATGCTCTCATTGCATATGGTTTTGAAGTGGGCAGGGACACCTTCCACTAGCCCAGGTTGCTCCAAGCCCTGTCCAACCTGGCCTTGGACACTTCCAGGGATGGGGCAGCCACAGCTTCTCTGGGCAGCCTGTGCCAGGGCCTCCCCACCCTCACAGTAGATTTTATTTTCTAATATCCAGTCTAAACCTACTGTCAGTTTAAGGCCATTCCCCCTTGTCCTGTCACTACATGCTCTTGTAAATAGTCCCTTGTGCCAATACAATCTGCAATACTTTCTAAAGGTAACTCCACTGAGATCCCTTAAAGGAAGTATCTTACCCTGCCCTTATCTATCTTTGCCCTTACCACATTTAGGGCATTCATAAACTGTGGGATTAACACAACAGTCCTGGTGCTTCCGAAAGGGAAGAGTGAGGAGCTGCTTCCATCAACAGCTTGTGCTGCAGCACGAGCAAGTGGAGGGCTTCTCACCAGTATGGGTTTGTTTATGTGCAATTCAGCACAAAAATATCTGTAACATTACTACCCAGCTCTGTGACACATGTACAAACAACTCTCACAGGCACCAGAAAAGTGTTAGGGTGTTGCACAGACTCCTTATTTATCCTCCACTGTGAGCAGATGCTGAAGAACACACTGGGATACTGCTCCCCCGTGGAGAAGGTCAGAGGTTTTCCTCCTAACTTTATTAAGGATTGCTGAGAAAATAACCAGACCAGAGTAATGATACATTCCACCATATCAAAGCCAAAGCTCTCCTAAATATCCTAAATGTACTCTTTAAAATTCAGCTTTCAGTTCAGACTGCATTCATTCTGCGTCACTGCTGAAAATCACATTTCAGGCTCAAATGCTGTATTTTGTTCTTATCAGGACATCACCAAAAGTGATTGCTCTTACTTGATACTTCTAAGCAGTTCATGTACAAAAGATTTATCAAGAATACTTTTCTTGATAAAAAGATTTCATTTTCACTGTTTATTTGTGAACAATTTATCCTGGAAATAAATATAACTACGCTATTTCAGTCAGACCGCAGGCACAAAAGCTTTTATTCTCTTCAGGTAAATATAACCCCAAAGCCAACCACACCTTGCCAAACCACCAACTGAGTAAGCAGTATTTTCTCAGGGAATTTAAATACCTGATTACACGTGTAGCTGCACTGAGCACATTTGAATCCTTTTCCTCCTCTGTGAGTCTTCTTGTGCTGAAGAAAAGCGTAGCGTTCGTGAAAAACTGCCTCACAGGCACTGCACTTAATGGCCTCCTCCATGTAGGAGTGAAGATTTCGCAAGTGGACACCTGAACAGTTTTCCAAAACAATTCATTTTAACAGCAAGCTTTTGATTTCCACCATTTGGACTAAAAGAAGGACTGTTTACATCCCTGAGTAATGCAAACACAAAAGAACCTTCAGTGCTCTCTCCAGTAAAATAGCCAAATCAGTTTAAGACAACTAAAGTTGCAGCAAGGTGGTGTAACTTTCCATAGAAATCAATCCTGTTGATTTCAATGAAAATTGCTTAACAAACCACTTTCAAAAATTCCAGTAACCCCCTGCATTAGTCTGTATGCAACAATTCATTGAAAAATGTTACCCAAAGTAGTATTTACAATATAAAAGTGAACACTGCAAAAATACATGAAGAAATGGTATGTATGTAAATAATAATTCCACTTCTACCTTCAAATATTTACCGTATTTCAGTTGGATCTTTATTTGAAAACATAAATAGATTCTAAAGGCATTTTGTATGCTTAAGTATTTCTTTGATATATAGCTTTTTCATATATTTCTGGAAACTTAAAATTTTATACAGGTTTTGTAGTTACTCGTCAGCTCTATTGCCTCAAACATTTCTTACGGAAAGACAGAAGGTCACAGTGCCACAGGTATTGAGCTAAAGAAAAAGCTAAATATCTTTGCTACTTTACATTTTAAACAAATTAAAACATCAACCACAAGATGTCACCACATCTCCTTGCAGGAGGAACTTACCTGTAAAACATAAATACATTTTCCACAGAAATATTTTGTGATCGTATGAAGTCAAATATAACATATCTGGTGAAATTTTACCTTTACTCATCTCTAAGTTTCATTTTCAGTTTTTTCCTTCAAACTCACCCAAATCGCTTTTTCGGGAAATAAGGGTACTGCAGTGTGGACACTGGTGTTTTGGGACGTTTTCTCCGTGCTTCTGTAACATATGGATTTTCATGGTACCGCTTTGAGTGAATCTGGCCCGGCAAACACAACATTCATAGCGTTTTTCTCCTATTAAAAAGAAATTAAAATAACATGTGCTTAGAAGGTCTAGTCATTTGATACAAGTGCAAATTCCCACAGACCTCAACATGTTCTAACAGCAACAGTCTCCACACCGACCAAAAGTTACTATTAGTTGACAATGCACAAATGGCTAAATAACTTTCCCTAAGTTTGGACAACTGATTACAACACAAAATTTGGGCTTCCAGAATCTACAAGTCAAAATTGTCTCAAGATATGAACCAATGAGGGATAAGTGGGGATATTTGGAAGATTTGATTCAAACCACACTGTCACACTCTGAAACAAACTAAAGCATCGACTATAAGACACATTATATATCATAACTGAGCTAAGTTAAACCCTGAAATACAGGATAGGTACCAACTGCCTTCTCAGAAGACTTGCACATTACAGAGCTGTGACTGGAACACACTGCTTTCAATGTTTAAGCAATTTAATCCTTTTGACCAAATTAGTTGCTACCAGTCTGGGGCCACAGAAATGTCCATGTTTTGAACAGACATTTAAAAATCTCCCATCAGACACACTCCATATAAAATCAAATAATCGAGAAATAAAAGTGACAACTTGATCCACAGAAAACAACAGCACATAAAGGAAATATTTTCCTAATATAAAAGAAGTTCAGGAAGAGCAGCAAGACTAACTAATAGCTAGATCTCCAATAGCCAAATCCAGAACATTTAAAGAGAACATGTTTTTCACACGTTTTTACTCAAAATCACAAATTAAAAAAGGACTAATTTAGAGTCTGAAATGATATCATTCTAACCCTATGAATGCTAAGGGCCTAAGGCCATAGACTTGATCATTCCAGAGTCCTACCTGTATGAGTTAACATGTGCCTTTTCAGTTTATAGGCATCTTTGCTGGCATAACTGCAAAGGTCACAGGGATAGGGACGCTCTCCTGTGTGGGAACGAATGTGTCGTCTCATTTTGCTGGCCTAACATAAAAATCAGAGATTTGCTAAAGCAACACCTACATTAGAGACATAATCAATTAAAATATAAGAAATTTTACATAATACACCCATTGCAATTTAAAATATTGCAATTTAAAATATTGCATTAATCCCAAAATTAGCGCTCTCACATCCATATTCCTCCCCGTTTTTCCTGCACAATCAGCCTGCTGTGGTTTTGGGCAACACTTTACTCTTTCCCAGATGGTCTTATTTCCATGTTTAGTGTCCACATTAGAAGAAATTTTATAGTAAGAACATAAAAGCTAGCATTTTATAAAGAGGATACCTACTACTCTCACACTACTTGGACATACCAAACATAAAATTCTTTGAAAATACTCAGGAAAATAAATGAAAGACCAAACTCATTAACCAAAGTCTATTCACCTTCAAGTCCCAATGCTGCAAAGTTTATTTCATTCTACTTTGTTCTACTGTTCTGATCTGTTCTACATAAATATTGTAGGTATGCAAATGGGAGTTACCAAATGTTCAATTCCTCCATTTATAAACATATTTAAGGAATTCACTGACAGATCCATTCAAATCTACAACACTATTCAAATAAAATTAAACATGACTGCCAACCTTTGCTATACAAAAATCAAACAATTTGCATGGCAGTACTACAGAGCTCCTTCTGCTTTCCTCATTCAGGTAAAGCTCACAGGAATGAGAGTTCTGGAAGAGTAATGAGTGCTGAATAGTTCCTTATTGAAACAAGAGAAAGAATAGAATAATTTAAAATAAACTGTCAGGGTTTTTAAAGAAGCAAGCTATCCAAAATCTATTTAATAAGGTAAGGTGCATGGAATAAAGCTAAGGCTTGCTTATACCTTCAGATCTGGACACAGCACATAAAAAATTCAGACAGTGAATATCCACTAAACTGTGACAGTGATTCAATCAGAGCTGACTGTGATTCAATCACAGGTGCATTTCTGAAAGCCTGTTTTTAACAAGTGAACCCTTAAGCAGACTCTTCGTTTTTTTATTTCTTGATTAAGAAAATTTCAGTTCTGAAAAGAAAACCAAACATCATCAAGTATATAAACACAACATATGACCTTTATTTTAGACATCAGCTAGTATTGCCCCACATGAAGTGTAAAGGAAGAGGATCAAATTCACACAAACACATTGTCTGGCAGCAGTTTCAGCATAATAAAAATGTCCTCAAACTGGTTTTAAAAAGCTAAATGATTGTACTTACTTCTACACTGGAGTATTCACATATCGTGCACTTGAAAGGTTTTTCTAAGGTGTGTTTGTACCGCCTGTGTCGTGAAAGCTCACCCCTGGTCACAAATGCTGTATCACAGTCACTGCACTTATAGGGTTTGGTCCCTGCAAGAACACAACATTAGAATTTTATTTAACACCAATATTCACAATTTTTTAATAGAACCTTTCCTGATTTTCTGATTTTTTATACACAAGAAATCATAGAATGGTTTGGGATGGAAGGGACCTTAAAGACCATCTTGTACCAAATGCCCTCCACTAGACCAGGTTGCCCAATGCCCCACCCAACCTGACTTTGAACATTTCAAGGGATGGGGCATCCACAGGTTCTCTGAACAACGTGCTCCAGTGTCTCACCCTTCTCATAGTAAAGAATTTCTTCAATATATATGTACAATATAAGTTTATAATAAACACAATTTATCACTTTGCTTCATATGTTTATACAGCAAAACGAAAACATCACAGAACATTCTACTATGCATATAGGAATCAGGCACAACTGAAGTCATACTCACTTGCCAAAAATTTTTAGAATGGTATTTAATAAAATAAACAAACACATACACAGAGAGTTACTAACAACAGACAACGTCTTTTCAGCATGGAACACCAAACAAAATCAGAGAATCTTCCGAGTACAAAATGATCACAGCTCTAAGGCAAAGTCATTTGCCTGTTAATTCAGTTTTGCAGACAGTGTGTAAAATGAAGTATTTTCGAGCATTAGACACCTGTATGTGTGTTCACATGGTTGTGCAGGAGCGTTGCTGTACGAAAAGCCTTCGGGCAGAGGTGACACAAGTAACGTTTCTCATCAGAATGGGTTCTCAAGTGACGCTTCAGATTTGACAATCTGGCTGAGGTGAATGAACAGAAACAACAGCTGAAACCTTCTTTTTCTCCTGTTGGAACAAAGACATATTTAGACTGTACAAGCCACAAAATAATGACTTTACATTTTCAAAAAATACCAAAATACCAATTTCAACAGAGTCCCTCTACTTTAGGTAAAAATACTTCATACTTCTACATCAAAGGACTTTGTTAAGACTTGAGTGATTTGCCCCAAAAACAGTGCTATACGTTAGTGATACAGTTTAGAATCTAATCTCAGGAAACCTAACTCCTAACCTAGCTCTCACCTCCAAGACAGGATGAGACTTCTTCTCTCAATATCATCATTAAGACATGGTTCATCAAGGCACTTACAACCTGTGCAACACACTTCTTGAGGGCAACTGTGTAATTAGTACTAAGGAAGCTTATTCAAAGATTTGGAAATGGCAGCTTAAGCTATTCTCAGCTTTCTGGTAGTCCTGAATCTGTAAAGTGTATATAAAAAAATCATGATGTAAAAGCCTCTTTAGAATTACTAGTTGAATTTGAGGGAAAAAAAAAAAGAATCAATTGCTTGAAGAAGTCATAGAATAAAGTTCATGGCACAACAGAAATTAATTTTTTTTGAGAGTAACAAGATTAAATGCACAACACTTTCAGTTATGAAGAAGATTTGAAACTGTGAAATGGCAAATACGTCATATTTGAGGAGTCTTTCCAGAACAGTTGTCTCAGCTCCCAAGTGCACTCTCTGTAATGTTTTTCATGCTGAGACCAAAATGCATTTCATACAATGCTTTATACCACACAGAGATGTGCAGATGACACTTCAGTAACAGCAAACAAAACCACTTTATTGTCATTTATCCATTGTGGATTCATGCCCACACAAAAGAACATTGTTAGCTTTGTTAAAGCTGCTCAAATGTGCTTCCTATAAGGGCTGTAACTAAAACATGGGACATTAACAATTTGTACAATTTCCATAAACAACCTCAGCCAAGATACCTTAACATCCAGATGCTACAACACACACGTTTACAGACTCAACATCACTGATGTCATCCAACTTTTCCAGCACACACACACAGTTTCTAGGGAAACAGATGCTTATCTTTTCCCTTCCAAGTCAGTCCTTAACTTCTGCAACGTACGTTCACATTTCTAAAACTTTAAATCAGCCATTTTCTGTCACTTTTATTTAGGTTCTGGGAAAGGCTTTGCTGACAGGTATTGTTTGATACTTGCCGACCACCCTCTGCCAGCAACGTGGAACAATTCTAAGCTCATCCATAAACCCTCAAAAAAGCTCATTTTCAAGCTGAATGAGTGAATTAAGAGACTAAATAAATTACTAGGTTTATTCAAAGGCATTTATACAATATTAACTTTGAAATCTCCCTGGAGGTTTCACATACCACATACTGTTCAAAAGACCATTAATTTCTAAATGCCATCCAAAATGTCTCTCCTGACATCAGCCTGAACAAGATCTTCTAACGCTTAAGGCTGAAAGGTATTTTTTCTTCTTCCAAATTTCCACAGAATGTTAAGACTTAACCTAACCTAAACTCAACAATTACCACTGTATTTAATATAAAATTTCAGCCTCACTTCAAAATCTCACCAAACATACATTATCTAAAAATGAACTACAAACATTGTTAACGTTTTACCTTTTTTCTGACGTGGTGCACAAGCCTGAAATTTTAGATTCTTGGAATTTTTTACAACTGTTTGTTCTGATGCAGTTGCATATTCCTGCTCTTTACTTTCATTACACAACTCTGACAAATTTTCACTGGCTTTGCAGCTTTGGCTCTTTTTTTCCCCAACTGTGGAAAAAAGTTTCTTTCCTTCCCCCTCTTCAGATGGGCTCAGCTGCTGGATGTTATTTTCAAACGCAATGGCATCATTATCTCTGTCAATCTAATTTAAAAAAGAAAATGTTTTACAACTTTCTCAATCAACGGCAGTCACTAGTGGCAAATCAACTGAGCAGTCAACAAAAGACAAGCTACTAATTCATCTTGATTTTCAGGCTTAAATGTGATGGACAAAACTGCAACAAAAAATTTGCATTTAGCATACAAGAGTTTAACTGGGAAGTGAAAAATTACTAAAATTGAGCCCTACCTCTTCAAAATTTTATGTAAAATTTCAGAGTGTCATGTAAAGATTACTGAGAACACAAACCCCTGTATCTTAATTTTTCAAAAAGATTTTAAATTCCACTTTAGTACATCTACCTTTTAAAAGAAAACAAGAAGTATGCTCTCAGTTTTTTATCAAATATAGGACTTCTGCAGCCTAATTGTAATGCTTTCTTTGTCATAAGGCAATTACAGGGTTGTGATATGTCTTGCATTAGCTAAATTAAATATGACCTACCTCAGAACTTATCTAGTGCTGCATGAATTTTAAAAGAATAAAAATAATATTTTATTATAAAACCAACAGTTGGAACAGAATAAATAGCAGTGTTTGCATGTCCTTTTAATAAAATTAATTTCAAATGAAACCCTATTACACACCCAGCTTTAACAACGACACTGCAGTATTGAACTAACTGAATTATAGAGAAGGGAAACTGTGTAATGCTACTTAAGAGATCGAGGCTGTCAAACCAAATAGTACCAAACTGGTGCACTGAATTAAAAACTTGTCTGAATTTCAACAAGTTAGTTATCTAGTCTAAAGGTTTAGCTTGTCTTTTAAAAAATGGGATGAGATTATAAAAAGCTGTACAAAGGACTGGACACTTAGAACCGGATCGGTGTGATAGTAGGAGTTAACAGGTAACATATCTTCACTTGTACCTCCATCCGGAGCCTGTCTACTGGTTTCTCAGTTGCCTTGCTTTCTGAACTCTTTTCTTGCCCTTCCTCTTGCAGAACATGAATCTGTGCCAGCTCTAGGTCATAGAACACGCAGATCCCTTCCCGCAGGGTGAGAGCCATGCCCTGGGACACGCTGTGCACCACGGCCTGTCCCTGCCCCGGCAGCACCACTGCCCCGGCCAGCGCTGCCATGGGCAGGGGCCTGCCGGGCTCCCTCCTCCTCCTCCTCCGCCCTCACACACTCTGCGAGCAGGGCCCGTGTTGTTCACCCTCCTGAGGAGACAGGCACCGCTCTGGGGGACAGGAGCCCCCGCCCGCACTCGGGCCACTGCCACCGCTGCGCTCCTTCGCTCGGCTTTGCCCGGCCCCACCACGCTCTTCTGTGCTGCCGTCCGTGGTTTCACCGCAGCCCTAAGGCCTCGCACGGTGCTGAGCGAACCTGTTCGAAAGGCAACGTTAAACACGAGGGCAAACCACGGGCGTTCGGGACAAGCCCCCGCTCTGCCTCGCACAGCAGCCCCCGCACGCTGCCCGTCCCGCTCCCCGCCTCTCGCAGCCTCCGGCCGGCTCTCGCCCCTCAGCCTCTGCCGCTCCTCGTCCGGAGGAGAGGAGCTCCCCCGCCACAAGGCACCTCACGGCCCGCCGCGGGCGGTCCCCCCTCCGCCCTCCACCCCCACAACGGAGAAGAGGCTCAGCGGCCCGTTGAGCACCTCAGCATGGCGGCCCTGCCCTCCCTGCGCCGCTCCCTCAGCTGCAGGGGGAAGCCCACCTGTGGGCAGCTGCTCCCGTGTGAGACAGCTGGTTCTCACCTCTAATTCTTCAGGAGGCACAAAGCCCTGAAGTGGGTGCACCAGCAGAGCTTTGCCCGTCTGTGCATGGGGTGCCCAGTGCTCAGCAAAGAGCCCGTCCCCTCACAGTGAGAGCACAGCAGGGCCTGTAGGAGCAGCTGCCATTTTGCCACCCTCGAGCTCTAAATGAAGATCTCTCCGTCTTAATTGCAGGCCCTTAACCTCCTGCTCCCACTTGGCTGGAGACCACGGGGCTGAGCTCAGCTGGTTTCCCCACTTGCAAAATCTCTGGAGTACTTCCCATGTCTCCCTGACGGAAACCCTTCAGCCGGGTGCCGTGGAGCTGAGTGGTGCTGAAGGGCTGCCTGACGCTGCTGCGGCGGCGGCTCCCACCCAGGAGCTGAAGTGTTGTACAAAACTGGCTCAAGTGGGCTTGCAGAGCCAGTGGAGCGATATATAAGCATCATTACACTGTACTTTAGGCCAGGATTGGGTATTCAATGAGAGCAAGTTCAAAAGAGTTCTCCAGAGGTGTTGTAAAAATGTCTTTGAGGTAAACTTGGGCGATTTGAGAGACTTAACGTTGAATCTTGCATACCCTTCTAGACTAGTGATTTCCAACCATCAAGTGTTTTATGAGGCCCACTTACTATGAATACTCTATTACAGTGCAAAGGACAGATTTGGAGCTTTACCTCTAAATATTAGCTCAGTGTGTTGCAGGTGCACGCATTGTAGTACATTACAAAGGGACTGCAGCCCAGTGTGGTCCAGATCCTGTTAAACTGAATTACTGAACACTAGTCAAAGCCCCAAACCCACTGATGGCATTTCTTGCCTGTGGAAGTAACACAGTAAAACTGGCATTTGTGAAATATCCATAGCACAAAAGGAGCACACCCCATGGCCTTTCAAGCTGTACCCTCAGATGAGGTGGGGTCATGCCCAAAGCCATTATATTTTGTGTTTCTGAGCACAGTTAACACCACTGGGTACCTAGGAACCACACATTCCCTTTTCCATGGAATTTTTCAGGCTTATTATTCCTATTTCTGTGTGGTAGGTACCTGGGATAGCAGGGCTATATAGCACCATTGGAGAAGCTGGTGAGTCTGATTCCTGCAAAGGATGTAGCTGTGAAAAGTACATTAGTGGGTCCACTGTAATTAGTTGTAAGAATGAAAAATTAAACTCTTCACATCTTGAAAAAGCATGATTTTAGATCATTGGACCTTATCCTCAGAGAGAGCAACTGAAAATCCCATAAATATCCTTGACAACAACTACTCCTATCCACTGCAGAATCTTAAATGCAAAAATAATATCAAATTTTTTACATTTAACATCAGCAAGTTAGTCATAACTATTCTGCTACTTGTAATCAACAAAATTCCAAAGCAATTATTTGAGGTTGAATATGTGTTCCAGCAATGTAGGGCTGATATTTTAGTTAGACACCACATTATTCATCATCCATGAATCTCTGGGCTCTCAAAACTAAAGAACACGATGCAGAGTAAATAATATATTCTCATAATTATGCTGCCAGTAACTGTGGCCAGAGACTTTACTTCTTACACATTTCTGAATCTTTTCAAGTTGCTACATATATTGTACAATTATTATAGTTGAAGGGTACTGTAGGAAAAAAGTTGTTATAATAATACACTCCTCTTTAGGTCATTTTAATGAGGTTTTCTGCACTTCAACAGTCATCAGCTTCCAAGAGCTGTCCTGCCTTGCACTTCTGCATTATTAATACCAGCACCATCCGTGCAGCTACACTAAAGGTCTGTCATTATTTCCATTATTAACTGATATTTTAAAGGCTTTATAACTCAAACACAGAATAGCCCTTCAGTTCATTTTTTTTGGTTGAATTTAAAGGAATCACTTGGATCAGCAAGCTGCAAATTCAACCAGTTTCTGATTAGGTTTTGACACACTAGAGGTTAACAGCTCCATAATGGCCATTATGGCCTGTTGTGTGTACAGTCTCCAGTTACCACTGCTGCTGCATTGTCTATCTCTAGCTGCAATCAAGCTTCTACCCACTCCTCTGGGAGTCTGGTTCTTTCTAACACATCAACAGTCTGCCTGAAAAATCTATCATGAAAAGAATAGAGAGCCATTTTATTTTTAAAGTCATAATTATACTTTGGGGGGTAAACATTCAGTATGAATTATTGTTTGTTTAGGAGTAGTTTATAAGGAATATAAGGAATTTAATGTAGGCACATTTTCTTGTGCTAAAGTAATGTTGCATAAAGGAACAAAATTCGGCCACAAAATTGCAGATAAATTGCTGATAAGAATCTACCAGTGCATGAAAATGAATACATGGACAACTGAAATCCTCAATCAGCAGAGTAAATTTTACCCTTGACAGCACTAAGGAAACACAGTGAACTTTGTTCTGATCTGTGGTTTTCTACCCAAGTATAAACAGTGCGGCTGATTTTTGAAAAGAGTAAAATATTGGGTTATCTGTTCAGATTGTCAGTCTTAAATCTGAATAACCCTTTTTATAATATTTAGGACATTTAATGCTTGTTAGGTGGAGCTTTCTAAAATGCTCCATTAGCATGTACATAAAGCATATTTGACCTTGAAGGTAGTTCTAAGTTCCCTTTCCTTACTGTATTTCAGAAAATCACTTTGGATGACTGCAGAGGCTGTTTAACAAGCCTCTACCGTGATGCTTTGCACCTCTATCACAGGTTCTAAATTACAGTGCTCTGATGCCAATGGAAGGATTGCCATCAATTTAACTGGGTTTGGAATTAGGCCCAGAATAGATAACTACGATAAGAAATGACGGTGTGATTTATTTACACATTCTTGACCTGTCCACAAAATGCAGAGTAAATCAAGACTGCCGTAGTGCCTTTGGAAGAGAAAAGGAAAAAAAATAAAAAGGAAAAAAAAGAGGGAGACGAAAGCAAAAAAACCCCTGAAACAAATAGGCCCCAGTTTAACCTCCAATGCTCGTAATTGTTTCATTTGTGATACTCTGTCTTGTGGTTGAGAACTCCATTCTTCTGCAGAACATGACTCCTGTTAGTCTATGAGAAAACCCAGTCTTTGTTGTGACTTATTTTGACAGCTTTAATATCATTTTCCACCTGGCATCTGGAAAGTTTTCCATTTTCACTTTCCTCCAATGTCTCACTTTTGTTTCCAAGTCTGTGTCGCGTTCGCACCGCACCTGTCAGAGTGGTGTCTGTGCCTTAACACCGCTCTGCAAACACACACGCCTTTGCTTTGCTCTTGCACCAGGGACAATCGCTACCTTCATCACCTGTTTTGCAGTGAGATATTGCCCCTCTTCATAATGACAGCAGGAGATAACCTCTTTCACACCGTCACCTGTTTCAGGGAAAGCGAGTTTACTTTTATCGTCTTCTAATTCATCTGGCTCCTTTAAACACTGTTCAGTTCTTGAAGCTGCAGTCACGAAACGGTTGAAATATTTTCTGGTGCTGTTGTCAATTGTACCTTCAGTGTCCCACTTTCACAGAGATGAAGCATTTCTTCAGAGACCACCAAATATCCTAATTAAAAAAAAAACAACACAGCACTTCAACTAATGAGTGAGATTAAAAAAAGAAAGATGCTATTCTAAGCAACTGAAAGTTGCAGATTCAGAATTAACTCAGTGCTTCAGTGCTGGCCTGGAAGATTCTCAGGAGAAAATATACAGTCTGATCACTTGAAAAGAAGGATAGTATTAAAATAGTTTAGATTTTTTTCCCTTTTTTTTTTTTTTGTTTTGTTCTGTTTGTTTATTTGATTGTTTTTTGTTTTGCCTCCCATACCTCTGACTCTGAGATGGGAGCTACAGCTTATTCTAGAAGACATCATTTAGCATTCAGATCTGACTTGGATTTCTTGTTTGCCCCAAAAAACACAATTCTCTGCTCCCCATCTCTACAATCCTATAAAAGTTACTCAGACCTCAGACCGAGGAACATCAGAACATGCAGCCTACTGGTTTCCTTATTGCCCAAAGCAAAGGGAAGATGGGAGCATAGCAAAGCAAAGACAGATGGAAATCATCGTGGAGGGGATTGATTGGCTGGTGTCTAGGCAGGCTATTAATTACCACTTAGTGCAAAGAGGAGGGTGAGGAGGGCACAGAGCTGTCTGGGGCACAGTGCTGGGACAGTTCATGAACAATCAGCTAAATATGGGCTGTGCCCAAGGCATGGGAAAGGCTGGGCTTTGCTCTCCCTCCGATGCTCACCTTGACTTTGAGAAGACAAATCATCTCTTTAAACAGCAGTGATTCTTGTAGCAGAACCAAACCAACTTCTGTTAAGTTAAAAGACTTAATACTTTCAAGTGTTGTCTATGTGCTTAAAATCCTGCTCCAGACTGTAAATTATTATAATTATATAGCATGACAAAAAAAACCAAGACAAAATAGTGTACAGATGTGGGATATATAAAAGGGGAAGTATTTAACATAAGCTTACTGGAGCTGAAAGTACCAAGGATGATTGATTGTTCAGACACAAGCCAGGGAAGTGGTCTAAAAATTATTAACCATAATTGTAATTTGTCTATTAACTGTTTAATCTAACATTATGATATATTTAGAAACAATCATGCCATCCAGTAATGCACCGTTTGCTGCTTGTGGCAAACAGCAGAGCTGCGTGCCTGGGTCTGTTTGGAAGAAGGATGTTTATTGGGAAGGACATTACTTCTTCCATTTCAAAAGAAATTAGTGTGGTTATACAGTTTAATACACCTCAGTGATTTCCACTGTTTTTACAGAATACTCTTTAATCTAAGAGATAGCAAAGAAAGTTTTAAAGACAACTCCTCTTAGTCAGTTATTAAAGTTTTCTGTTGCTGTTTGTGCAAGGGTTGAAGAGTCAAAAGCTTAAAAAGGCAGAAAGTTTTCCTCTTGTTTTGACTAAACTGGGGGAAACGTGCTAGAGCTGTGCAGAATTTGATTGCCAAACACAAAGAGAAAATACACAGTGAGAAACGATAGTAAAGGTTTAACCCAGCTGATGTAAGAAACAAACTCCAAGGATGCCCATGTTTCCTTCTTCTATCACATTGTTAATCTTTAATCAGAAAAACAGTTCAGAGAACAGCTCTTTGTGCACAGCTGAACAGACACCAAACATTGGAAGTTAATTGGATCACGGAGAATGGGACTCTTGAATCATTGCCCTAATGAATCTATGAGTAAGATGTACAACCCAAAGGAGTTCAAATTCTGCTTCCACGTGGAAATGCAGCAAGTAGACATTAAACCTTGCAGAATCAGCAGTAAGGAGGCAGTTAGTGGGTTCAGAAGAGCAGTGGGTTCCCATGCACTTTTTTCCCAGCTCAGATAACAAATTGTCTTGGGTGCTGAACTTTCAAGGAGTCCAAATCAAGATTCTTAACTGAAAAATCTGAAGAAATCAAGAAAATGTAAGGGCATATTTAAAGACATGTATATTAGTCTCACTTCACTGAACAGTGGGTGATTTAGTCCTTGATATTTATCAGCGGAGATACCTTAAATCTTAGTCTTCTCCACTGCTATAATGTCAAATCATCACGTAAAGACCCCATGACTCTCCATCAGGAACTGGTAACAGAAACATGGTATAGCAGGTTTTACATATTTTCCTCTAGTAAGAAACCAGGTTATCCTTATAGTCCTTGCAGTCTTTTTAAACAGCAGGATGAGGCAGTGCCTAGAAAGCAAACAAGAATAGCTAAGTGACAGTTTTGTGA